CAGATGTGTGCAGCGCATTTTATGGAGGACTGTTTACTGATCCTGGGAGAGTAACGTTAGACTAAAATGCCGGCAGTTCTGACTCACGTAAGTACGTTTTCATTTAAAGGATTTGCCACTGATGATTCAAACGCGAGTTTTGGACAGTAGAGTAGCACTTGTTGTTTGTCATTTCTCCAATCACAAATGCAGACAGAGTTTTATGTTTACGCGGCGCGATGCAACGCAACGCATAAAAAGACAGTATAAGTCATTATAATCAGTAATTATGTCCCACTGGATGCAACAAATGCCTCGTTTGTAATGGGTTTTATGTTTTTGTCTCGTCGCTCCGGCCGGGACACAGCATCAACAGTTATGGTGAGGGGCGTAACATTTCCGTTTCACGCTTGAGGTATTCGGCCAATCACAACGCATTGGATAGCTGGCCAATCACAGCACACCTCGCTTTTTCAGACCGATGAGCTTTGTAAATATCGACGCGTTTCAAAAAGGCGGGGCATAGAGGAGAAACAATAATGTACAGTATGTGGAAAATAATGTTTTTTTTTTACTTTAAACCGCATAAACGCATTTCATTACACCAAATACACAAAATAATGTTCTTTTTAGCAGCATCATATGACCCCTTTAAGGCATTCCTCTTATGGCAAGACATATCGGCATAATTTTTCATATCGGGCCGATGCCGATATTTACAATTAAAGCCATTATCGGCCGATTCCGATATCAGTCCGATAATATCGTGCATCCCTACTTTTATGATTGTTGCTTGTTCTTCATTAGACTGTTTCTGTAGAGAGTCACACAGCATCATCATATAAATTCATTGTATGCCATTTTTGTAAAACTTCATTGACTAAAGAATGGGGGAATCTCTAATAAATGGTTTTGTGTGTGTGAGTGTGCAGTAAATGTTCTGAAGTGATTTCTCTGTAATAAATAAGGGCTGCTGATATTGTGTCAGAAAAGAAGCCCTTCTTTGGCACGACTGTAGAGAAGCTGATTACAGCTTTGATGTTTTGGCTTCATTGAGATGTCCAGTGTTATACTGACCAGTGATCTAGGAAGGGGCCTCATCTTAATAAAACCCATAATAAGCACTCTGAAAGATGATGAAAGTAAGCGAATAGTTATTGTGCCTGTTGTGTCTCTGGGGTTTCAGGTGTACAGCACACTCTCTAATGAAGAGTACGACCGGAGGAACGATGATGTGGATCCTGTGGCGGCGTCTGCCGAGTACGAGCTGGAGAAACGGGTGGAGAAGATGGACGTGTTTCCCGTGGACATCGAGAAAGGTGAGGCTGTGTGTCTTTCACAAAATACTCCAGCTCTCTCTGAGATCGAGTGATTAAAAATCAGTCATACTTGTGAAATTGGTTGATTTAAATTAGAATTGAATACCTTTAAACACCTCATTCTGCACCTCTGTAGAGTTGTATTTGTTGTAATTGACTTATAATGTAAGAGTAACATCTGTAATTTAGTTTGCATGCTGACTTTTCCATCTCACTCAACCTTAGAATTAAACTACTGTAGCTTTAAAGGTTTGGTCACATTAATGGGCAAAAATAGGTCCATTGTCAGCAGTGTAGAGATGAACAAAGCGCAGGTCAAACAAAAAAATCGCTCTCAAGCCAATTGGCTAGCCTCTTTGCATGTGAAATGAGTAGGGACATCCCTGCAAAGATGCTGAACTCTGTAAATATTGGTGGTCATATGTTAAAGAATTCATGTTTAAAAAATTCATGTCGATTTTTCTGATTCTGTTTTTGGTTTAATTCCAATAAATGATCTGTTTGAACTGTACATGTTAGAGTATGTCTGCATCAGTTATTGCAAAATGAAATCTATGAAGACTTGCTCTCTCTTTTCTCTTTGTGTTAGGTGATAAAGGGCTGGGGATCAGTATTATAGGGATGGGTGTTGGGGCAGACCAGGGTCTGGAGAAACTGGGCATCTTCGTCAAGACTATCATGCAGGACGGAGCTGCAGAGAGAGATGGGAGGTGAGATCTTCAGATTAATCGAAAGATGAAACATTTGGACTGGCACTAGAGAATTTCTTACAACACGCAGAGATATTCACTGTGGTGGTTTTTATTAAATCAAAAATAATGTAAAAAATACTGTATTGCAAAATATGACATTCTTGTGATGGCAGAGCTTTAAAAGTAACATCTCACAGCACTGGTTATAGTTGTTTGTCACCAAAACAATTGGCTGTTCTGTCTGTAATTAAGTATACGTTGATGGTTGCTATATGAGACATATGTGACCCTGGAGCACAAAACCAGTCTTAAGTCGCTGGGGTATATTTGTAGCAATAGCCAAAAATACATTGTATGGGTCAAAATGATCTATTTTTCTTTTATGCCAAAAATCACTAGTCTATTAAGTAAAGATCATGTTCCATGAAGATATTTTGTAAATTCCCTACTGTAAATATATCAAAACCTAATTTTTGATTAGTAATATGTATTGCTAAGAACTTCATTTGGACAACTTTAAAGGCGATTTTCTCAATATTTAGATTTTTTTGCACCCTCAGATTCCAGATTTTCAAATATTGTCATATCCTAACAAACCATACATCAATGGAAAGTTTATTTATTCAACTTTCAGCTGATGTATAAATCTCAATTTTGAAAAATTGACACTTAAGACCAGGTCCAGGTCCAGGGTCACATATGAATCAGTATTACTTTTGTCAATGTAATATCATCATGGTCATCATTGTCTGTTCCAGGATCCAGGTGAATGATCAGATTGTGGAGGTGGATAGCATCAGTCTGGTTGGTGTGACGCAACTCTTTGCTGCGACCGTCCTCAAGAACACGAAGGGAACTGTCAGGTTGGTCCTGCTGTGTCTAATATACTTACATTCAGTCTAGTTAGTTTAGTGTGTCATTAGGTGCTGCATGCCATCACCACAAATGTCATCACAGATGTCTTTCTTAATTTCTAATAGTCTTGTGTTGTCAGACTTTTGCTTATTTAATGTGGTCGACACCCCACCATAACTGGCCTTAAACACTGTACAAATAGATAGGATTAGACCATCTGACTGTCATGTAAAGTGACCTAGCATACAGTAGCTGTTGTTTTTACATGACGAAAGAGGCTTGTGGTGAGGCATGACACTTGAAGTCGGAAACAGAAGTAGCAACAGATTTTGTCCATATTTTGACATAAGATGGGACTTTATATCTAATGTTTGTTAATTGGATTTTGAGATGTGGATTTTGAGATCTGAATGTCAGCATGCAGGGACAGTGTTTTAGCAGACTGAAAGCCTGGAGAAGTTGGGCATATGCCACTATGGAGAAGTCTGTAATTTCACTGGAAGATTGACTTGGCAGTTTGATTGAAAATGACAACCTCAAAACCTGGTCAATACCATGCATTTGGAAAATAGATAGGGTGACTTTTCATTTCATGCTGACTTTAAATCAGTGTAATTACTAACTCGCATGCAATATATAACTACACGGTTGCTAGTTATGTAATCAAAAAACATTGTTTTTATTTAGTATATAGTTTTGGGATTGTAAATGCTCGAACTCTTTAAAGAGTTCACCCAAGAATGAAAGTTCTGTCATCATTTACTCACCAAATCTCTATGAGTTTCTTTCTTCTGTTGAACACAAAAGAAGATATTTTGAAGAATGTGGGTAACCAAACAAGTTGCTGGTTGCCATTGACTTCCATAGCATTTGGAAGTCAATAGCTTTTTTACCAACATTCTTCAAAATATCTACTTTCTATCTACTGTATACACATCAGTCCCCACAGATAATCATGGAATCTAAGTCAAATGTGTAGTCTGGAGTGAAAATATACATATGTCTGCCCCAACAGTCCAAACAAAATTAACGATTATATAACCAGCGTTTAGCGTTTATCAGCTGAAAAAAAAAAACATTCTAAAATTGAGTCCAAAGTATTGTTTCTCTGTCGTAATAAATGTGGTGTGGACTTCACTATTCTCAAATAAATTGTTAAAATAAAAGAATGTTAAAGGGGTCATATGACGTTGCTAAAAAAGAACATTATTTTGTGTATTTGGTGTAATGAAATGTGTTTATGCGGTTTAAGGTTAAAAAAACACATTATAGTGGGGACATAATTACGGATTATAATGACTTATACACTGTTATTTTACGCGTTGCATTGCGCCGCGTAAACATAAAACCATGTCTGCATTTGTGATCGAAGAAATGACAAACAACAAGCGCTACTCTACACTGCACTCAGTGGCAAATTCAAATTCAGACACTCAGTGGCAAATTCTTTAAATATGAAAACGTACTTACAGTCTGTGAGTCAGCATTATTTGTCAGAAAACCGGCATTGTAGGCTACTCTCCCAGGAAACTGCATTGCACACACATCTGAATATTTGGGTTGAACTGTTCTGGAACAGTGTTGTAAATACAACTTAACCACTGATTTCTAGTCGTGTCCTCTTTTGGAAGACCAAACAAAGTAGTTTCGCTTTCACAACGAAACACACAGCTCTTCACGACATGGCGGCGGCAGCAACAATACTACAGCGAGAATAAAAGTTATGCCTTTTTTCTTTGCGTGAACATTTGGGCGGCGTTATGCAAATCTTCCCACATCGTGATGTAGATATGTGGGAGCGTGTTAGAAGGAGCCGTTTTAGGAGGGCGTGGACCAGTCTTAACTTTTATAAAGAATATCTCTTTGGGTTTGAGACTTTAGTCTTTGCAACTTTAGGGATCTTATCTATTCACGAACAGCTTGTAACACTCCAAAGAGAAAGGAAAACTTGAAATCGCATCATATGACCCCTTTAAATAAATATTTATAGTTGTAGTTCAATCATGACAACTCAGAATTGTTTTAGCATGTTAATGGATATGACTGTTTATGTATTTTGTGTATTTATCAGGCCAGATCTGCTACATGCGCTGCCACAGAGCAAACATGGACTTGCTACTGCTAGATACACAGATATGCTGATGTGAGCATATAAAATATGCTGAATGAACAGGCATACATAAATCCTAGACAGGTGGAGCTGGTGGAGGTAGAGGGTTTCTGTGCTTTAGGACCAGCTTGCACCGAACACTGAAACTGACAATTTAAATGTTGAGCAAGCAATCTCACTGGCTGCAGAATCAGCAGTCTGCTGGAAGGTAGCTCTCCAGGAGCAGGTTTGGAGACCTCTGCATTGGGCTAGGAGTTCACCGCATGCAAATAAACAATGCACACTCACACAGGCTCTGTTGTTTCCTCTCTACCTGATGTCAGCAGATCAGTATACGTTACAGATGTAATCATCCTTGTTTCCGCCTTGCTCACCTGTCAATGTGCAGGTTTCTGATTGGCCGAGAGAAGCCAGGTACTCAGAGTGAGGTGGCCCGACTGATCAGCGAGACCCTCGAGCAGGAATGGCAGCAGCAGCAGCAGGTGGACGACACATACGATCAGTCCACTGAAGAGGTCAGTCAAACACAACTCATGGGCTTTTTTCTTATGCCACTGCTTACGCATTGTACACGTTTGACTCAGTATCAGTATGATTTAGTTTGTTCCTGTGTATTCCAATTAGTAGTTCCGAAAGTATCAGTGCATTTATTATAAATTCATAAATAGATGGTGTACCAGTTTACTTGCTTCCTCAGTTAGTGCTTTACCTCATGATGCACAGTGTCAATGAAGAAACATGCATTGGTGTAGTTACAGCCAATGTTGGGTGTGATGCATTACCAAGTAATTAATTACTGTAATTCAATTACTTTTCCCTTGTAAAAGTACAGTAAAGGATTACTCTTAATTTTTCTGTAATTTAATTACAGTTACATCTGATGTAAATGCATCAAATACGTATAGAATATAGAGCAATTCTTTATAAAACAATAGTGGATTTAACATCTAATGTAAAAATGCACGTTTTAATGTAACCATCACCGTGGTCAGTTCAAGAATAATTTATGCAATTTTATATTATTTATTTAAAAGAAATAAAAGAGCAGTGTCATGTCTATCTTTGTATTGTTCAACTGGTCGAGTTTGATATGGAATTTAGAAAGTAATTAGTAATAATAAATAATGCAATACTTTTTAGAGAGAGTAATTAATACAGTAATTTAATTACACCGTTGAATATGTAATTAGAAGCTAGTAATTAATTACTTTAAGGTAACTTACCAACACATGCTCAGCATCTACCAGCAGGGGCTAACTGGACCATGCTAACTAGCCAAAACTTGCCAAATTGGTCCAGACGTACCTTTATTAGTTTATTTGGATCTTTGGTTGTCAGAGGGTTTTAAGGTGCGTTCACATTTACCGTTACTCTGTGAAATCCAGTTAATGAAAATCCATTTCAATAGAAATTAAATCCATTTTAATCCATTGAAATCCATTTCAATAGTAATACAGTTCTGGAAGTTTCGCACAAGAGCAGAAAAGTTCCCCATGTAGGTTTTGTTAGTCATGTGAAATCGCTGCGTTGACCAACCGAAAACGACTTTGTTTGAAAGTGACTCGTGTGTGAGCTGTGCTTTATGCATTGCTATACATAAAGCAATGCATAAAGTATACATTGCTGTACATGTTGACAATGTACCTTTTTTACCATTTCGTCAAAGTTTTGCTGATTTGACCACGTTTAGACTGGAATTGGAGTTAAAGAAACACCTTTAGACTTTTTAGCCATGCTGTAATTTCACCAGAACAGCTTTGTTGAGTGTTCACACATATGCAAAAATATGTAAAAATCCACCATGTTGAATGAGGAAACAGATTTGTGAGTCTGTTCAAAACCGAAGTGGGGTTTATACCTGTTTTAGGTGCCTGGATCCTGAACAATTCTGAAAGGTTAATGTTTCGCCAACGGTTTTTCAATATACTTGGGTTACTTTAATAAGTTATTTCCCAACTTGGCTCTATTTTTGGACTGCCTGTTTCTTGTTTTGTGCGTTGCATCATGTCTGTGTCTCTATGACAGGACGAGCACTACGAGGATGAGGAGGAAGGGGGAGAGGATGGCATCCTCGGTTCGAGTTTCGGCAGGAGGAATGTGGAAGTGTACGATCTGCCCGAGAGCGAGGAAATGTTCCTGCCGTCAAACATGGACACCGCTCAAGTGACGTTCAGATTTAAAGAGGTAACAGACTTTTGTGCTTTTCATTTCACTTACCTATAATAGATTGCCATTAATGATTTCTGTGTATATTCTGTTTTAATTTAGCTCCAGATAAAACACACTATTGCAGAAGCCGAAGTAGATGAACTGAAAGAGCGAGTAAGAACTTATGAGCCTTCTTATCCATTTATATCAATCATACAGCAGTCCCTGTGTGTTTTAACTGATAAGGTTTTGTTGATGCTGTAGTTGAGAGAGTCGTCAGAGGAGCGTGCGGCGTGGGAGGCGAGGGAAGCTCAGTTAGAGAAGAGCGTTCAGGAGAACTCTGAGAGGATCGCTCAGATGGAGAAGAACTGGCTGGAGGCTCAGGCTCTCTGCAAAAGCATCAACGAACAGCTCAATGACACGCAGAGTCAATATGAAGCTCTGGATATAAAATACAGCAAAGCCAAGAAACTGCTCAAGGACTATCAGCAGAAGTGAGTGGTGACGTCAGCACTAAGCTTTCCATTAATAATTTGCATGGATGTGTTTTATATATATATATATATATAGATCTAATCTATAGATTTTAATTATTCATATCTTGCAGTCTTCTTAAAAAGATTTTTTTTTTCTCCAGAAATCTCCACTTCAGTAGCACTTACATACATTGCACTTTCCAGTTTTATTCCTATCTATATTCTGAGTGTTTTTTTACAGAGGGGTGTTTTCATGTATCATTTAGCCGATTTATATAACATTTTATTCCTAAAACATGGTGATAAAAATTGTTTTTTTTTTTATTTATGGAGTGATAAAAGAGATCTCCAAATATTCCTCTGTAAAAAAATGTACCTCCAACATGGCAACAAAATGAAACCAGAATTTTGAAACTGACTTCATCCAGTGTTCAGATTTCTGTTCTAGAAATGTACAGGTGCATCTCAATAAATTAGAATGTCGTGGAAAAGTTCATTTATTTCAGTAATTCAACTCAAATTGTGAAACTCGTGTATTAAATAAATTCAATGCACACAGACTGAAGTAGTTTAAGTCTTTGGTTCTTTTAATTGTGATGATTTTTGGCTCCCATTTAACAAAAAGCCACCAATTCACTATCTCAACAAATTAGAATATGGTGGCATGCCAATCAGCTAATCAACTCAAAACACCTGCAAAGGTTTCCTGAGCCTTCAAAATGGTCTCTCAGTTTGGTTCACTAGGCTACACAATCATGGGGAAGACTGCTGATCTGACAGTTGTCCAGAAGACAATCATTGACACCCTTCACAAGGAGGGTAAGCCACAAACATTCATTGCCAAAGAAGCTGGCTGTTCACAGAGTGCTGTATCCAAGCATGTTAACAGAAAGTTGAGTGGAAGGAAAAAGTGTGGAAGAAAAAGATGCACAACCAACCGAGAGAACCGCAGCCTTATGAGGCTTTTCCACGACATTCTAATTTATTGAGATGCACCTGTATGCAAAATTTGTGCATATTAAATGAGATAATAAATAATTTGCATATCTAATCGTAACATTGCAGAAATTAGAAACAAACATTCTGATTGGCTGGATGTGTGTGTTGCAGAGAGGTGGAGTATGAGCAGAGGGAGGAGGACTTAAGGAGAACTCTGGAGGAGAGAGAGGCTAAATATAAAATTCAGATAGAGGATCTGCAGCGCAGGGTGAGAATTAACACACCTCATTTGAATTGAGCTCGCACATAAAGCTTTCACGTTCTCTGATTCCTACCGATCAATCTGTCTCTGTGTAGCTGGCAAAGCTTGAATCTGGGCGTCATGAGTCTCCACTGTCGGGCAGTAAGTCTGCAGATTCAATTCTGCTGGGTAAGTCAAAGATATCAATGCTTTTTAAATCCAAGAAGGATTAATGTGATTGTGAGATCATGCTGAGCCCAGAGTGAAGTTATAAGACAATGGGCTAGTGTTCATATTTGCATAATTATACTGACAATAATTAAATATGCCTGCATCAAGCATGCATCCTGTTTTAATAACAGTGCTCGTTTGCACAGACAGTTTCTTCAACAACAGTATTATGCGGACACTAAACCCAGCACATGAACTTTTCTGTAACTGTACAAAGTACCACTCTTGTTGTAAACAAAAATGAAAAATAAATACATAAATAAAGTTGTAGGTTGGTCTGAGATGGCCAATCAAATCAAAGAAGACGGGCTTTACTGGTCAAGGTCAGTTTTATTTGTATAGCACCTTAAAATAACACTAATTCAGGCCAAGGTGCTTCACAGTGGACAATAACAAAATAACAATCAATCAAACACAATAGTTTCAAAATTAACATCTGAATCAATAAGACAAAAAAAAAAAAAAATATTAAATGAAAACCCATAATGGCGAATGAAATTAACCAATAAAACATGGCCTGAAGTAAGCTAACATAGCCAAGTTATGAGTAGGTCTGAGAGAAAAGGTTCGTTTTCAAGCATGATTTAAAAGCAGGTATTTAAGTCTCCGGATGGTCTGTTATCCATTGTCAAAGTGAAACAGTGTTCACATAGAAGTCACTTTCAAACCAAGCAGATTTCTGTTGGGACTACAGCGAATGCACTTGACCCTGAGCAGTAATTTATACAGTTGAAGAGCTAACCTTAGTTGAAGTTAACCATGAATTGTTCTCCAGGAGCGGACTGGAGTGAGGTGGTCCCTGAGACGGAGCGTTTGGACACGAGCGCCCATCGCGCAAAGGCCCAGCTGGCCCAGAGATCCAAACGGCAGCCGCCGTCCCGCAGTAAACTCAAAGAGACACTCAGCTCGCCAGCGAGAAGCCCACAGGTCACACAGAGCTCAAGAAATTCATGAGCAATTGACTGCTGTAAAAAAAATCCAAAACATCAGTTTTCGACAATAACATTGTTTTTGCCCTCAGGGTGATGATGAGAGTCAGTCTGTGAGTCCCGAGTCTCCTCCGCCTCGTAGGAGATCGATCCAGGAGAGTTTGTCCCTGCCGGTCGTCACATCTTCCTCTGCAAACCACCCGAAGGATGAAGGTTCTGTTACGAGCAGCAGCCAATCAGTGCAGAGGGATCCTCAAGACCCCGCCCTCTCCTCCCCTAAAGACTCCTCCCCCTCCAGCTTCCTGCGGAATGTAAAGAAGAGAGAGTCTAAAGGCAAGGGCAAAGAGGTCAAAGGTAACGAGCTGGATTTAGGATCCCAGTAGAATGGCGCTTTTTTACAATAGACATGTAATTTCCACCCAGCAACAGCAATAGGATTAAAAATACTTATTGTTTAGTATAGTTGTTGTTTATCAGGTATTTGGACATGGTTCATTCAATCATAATTTAGAGTCTACATAACAAATCTGAAATCTTTAGTAATGCCTGGCAAGTGTAACAAACTACAGGCTAATAATCAGTAGTAATTTGGCAAAATAATGGTTTTAGTTGTTTTTTTTGTAACAATGTAAATATTTACATTACTTTTTTTTTAATTTTATTAATTTAAAGCATGATAATTGTTAAAAAGTACCACACGTACCAAGTACCACTTTTGAACTTCTTTAATTGCGTCTACTGATAGTGCAAACAATACTGATGGCATTTGTTTGCACATCCTGACTGTGTTTCCTGACATAATTCACTAAAGAAATGTCAAATAAAGCACAAACATGTGACACAATTTGTGCCAATCACAGTTTGGATGGGACGATATGCACACAAATGCACCCAAACTATGGCTGAAGCGGAGATATTTCTTATATATGCTGCCATAATCACTTGAAAATGAAGTGCTATCAATCCAAGTTAGCCTGGCCATCAGATGTTTGTCTATGTTTGTGTTCTGATATAATTCTTTTCTTTATTTCAGAAGAGTCTAATGATGCGGCTGGAAAAGCCAAAAGAAGATTCCCAGATTTTGGGTAGGTGCAAAATTCCCCACCTTTAGCATTTTACAATGTAAGTAAATGAGCATCTAATTTGTTGCGTTCTTATCGTAAGTTCATTTTGGATTGTGGTGGTGTTTTATTTAATGCATTTTCTGATAGTGGTTTAAGGAAATCAGGAGGAAAGGGGAAAAAACTAAGCAAAGAAGCCACGAGGGCGTCACTGGACAGCAGGTACACGTGAACACACACTCACAAACATATAGAGTGAAGAGTTTTACACTTCAACTTTTGATGTGGATCCAAATCCGTTTGACATTAGTTGTCAGTGTGAAAGCGGTTTTCCAAAATCTGGTCCTCTGCTAGGAACCAATCAACATTTACCTATTGGTTTGTGCAAAACCGGCTAAACAAACAAAAACAAGTTGCCATTAGAATGCATTTCTCATTGCTTCCAGTATGCTGAGCTTGTATTTCCTCTCCTCATGTCTCAATGTGTTGTGTTGTAGGGGTTCAGCGGAGTTACTGGAGGAGTCAGGGGCCCGAGTCTCCCCTTCAGAGTCCATGACCTCCATCCCCACCTGCATGCCCTTCTCCTGGTTTGGAGAGAAAGACCGTGACAGAGAGCCGTCGTCCTCGTCCAGCAGTCTCCCATACACCACTGCAGACGCCAGCGAACACAGCCACAGCTCCAAAAACAAGGTGACAACTACTTCTATCACAGAGCACTTCTGCTCCAGGATTGATTCTCTTGCACAGATTAAAACTAGTCCAGAACTATTATAGATCTTCAAAACATAATGACCATTAATTGACTTCCATGTATGAGTATGTATGACTACAACTTTATTTATAAAACGGTTATCTTAATATGTGGAATGTGAAATCTTGTAATTGATATCGTTATTAATATCTTGACCCTTGCAGTTATAGGGCTAAATAATATGAATATTTGGCACTTTCCACATATGTGACCCTGGACCACAAAACCAGTCATAAGAGTCAATTTCTCGAAATTGAAAAGCTGAATAAATAAGCTTTCCATTGATGTGTGGTTTGTTAGGATAGGACAATATTTGGCCGAGATACAACTCGTATTTGAAAATCTGGAATCTGAGGGTGCAAAAAAATCAAAATATTGAGAAAATCGCCTTTAGTGTTGTCCAAATGAAGTTCTTAGCAATGCATATTACTAATCAAAAATTAAGTTTTAATATATTTACAGTAGGAAATTTACAAAATATCTTCATGGAACATGATCTTTACTTAATATCCTAATGATTTTTGGCATAAAAGAAAAATCAATAATTTTGACCCATACAATGTATTGTTGGCTATTGCTACAAATATACCCCAGCGACTTAAGACTGCTTTTGTGCTCCAGGGTCACAAATAGGGTACAAAAAGTGATTATATGAGCTGTTTTCTCTCTCTTTTTTTGTTTATTTCTAGGAATAAACATTAAACAAGCACAAAAAGCAAACAAAAGTGATCAAATTAAGACGTTAGATGTGCTTAAAACTTGATAGTATTCGTTCTAAATTAATCATGCGTTACATAATAGTTCAGTGTATTTTTAATGCTTCTCACAATAAAAACATGGGCTTTTAAAAAAAGTCAAGAGACACCAAAATTATATTGTATTCATTAAAAATGTCCACACTACTTGTTCAAAAGTTTGGGGTCAAGAAGATTTTTTTAAATGTTTTTGCAATAAGGCTGCCATTCGTTTGATAAAAAAATACAGTAATATTGTGAAATATTATTACAATTTAAAACAACCATTTTCTATTGTAATATATTTGAAAATGTAATTTATTCCCATGATCAAAGCTGAATTTTCAGAATCATTACTCCAGTCTTCAGTGTCACGTGATCCTTTAGAAATCATGATAATATGCTGATTTGCTGCTCAAAAAACATTTCTGATTATTGTCAAACAGTTTCTTCTTTGAAAAAAAAGTTCAAAAGAACAGCATTTATTTGAAATAGAATTTATTTGCTAACAGTGTAAAAGTCTTGCCTGTCACTTTTGATTAATTTAATGCATCCTTGCTGAATAAAAGTATTAATTAAAAAATAAGAAAAAAAATCTTACTGATCCCGAAGTTTTGAACAGTAGTGTATGTATGGACGAATTATCTAGTGCTGATCATTTCTAGTTAAAGTGAGTCAAATGGGAGAACAAACCAGCTTTCTGCTAAGCACACGACAAAACTAAATAATAAACACAACAAATATCTGCCATCCAGCTGGACTTGCTTTAGTTTGTTTGTAATTGTGAGTTGCTAAGGAGGAGGTAGCGTGGAAATGTTCAGGGCTGAAGCCTGCAGCCATACGGATGCGATCATTCATCAGGCTTGAGCCAAACAGACTCGGTCCATGGGTCAGAAAATTAGTTCAGCAGCTCTTTGAGCCCTCTCGGTTTCATCAGCTCCAGCTGAAGCGCGTTTGGTAAAGCTTTCAGACAGTGTTGTCATATTATTAACCTCTTTTCCCAAACAGACAAACCTCTCCTGGTCTTCTCTGTTCAGTCGCTCCTTAGATTTGGTACAGTATATTTTCTCTTATAAACACTCGTAGATGTCAAATTTCATCTAGCAATGTAGTGAAACTCTAGCTAAATATCAAACCTAATATGTTGAGTTTTAATATTTGTAGAATCACATTAGTTTTGTTGAATGCAGTGCACTAGATGCATGATGCTGATTTGATTTACTCTTTTTTTTTTTTTTTCAAGTGATGTTTTTTTATTTATTTCAGATTTCAAATACAGGCTTTTATTGTCAAATCAATGTAGATGCATTTCACTGCTTATCTGGTTTAGTCAACACAGTCTCATGACAATTCATAACTATTTTACATAACTGTTATCTCATTCGTATGTTTTTGTACGATCTACTTGCACCCCAGTGATGGTTGGGTTTATGGGTGGACCTTCATGCTTACTTTTTTACTAAAAATCATACTATTTATTTATTTTTTTTACATCGTACAAATTCATCTGAAATCCCCACCTCATAAAATAGTTACGTATTCATGTGAGATCGGGTTGGGTTTAGTGTGTGTATCTGTCTTGTGCTGTTACAGTATGTTGTAGTTGTAGCTAAAGAGTAGTTGTAGGGAGGTGGTGGGTGACCGATATGAGTTATAAATATCCAATATAATGCAATATTAATAAGGCTGGCTTGACAATTTTAATTACACAATTGTAATTGATCTTCATTCTGATGAACCTATTTCAACAACTCAATCTTATTTGAGTGTTGATTATTATATCAAAAAATAAATAGCAATTGAATTTTATAGTTTGGACATGTTCATTTTAACCTTTAATATTATAGTAATGTACCAACTGAGCATTGGTCGGGAGATTTTTTCCTTAACTTTACATGTACTGTAGCTGATACTGTATATAACCAAATTAATCGAGATCAAAATCGGATCGAATTGAGCTTGTGAATCAGAATCAAACTGATTCATGAAATCTGTGTCAATATCCAGTGTCAATACCTTTAAAGGGGTCATATGGTGCTGCTAAAAAGAACATTATTTGGTGTATTTGGTGTAATGAAATGTGTTTATGCGGTTTAAGGTAAAAAAAAAAAACATTATTTTCCACATACTGTACATTATTGTTTCTCCTCTATGCCCCGCCTTTCTGAAACGCGTCGATTTTTACAAAGCTCATCGGTCTGAAAAGCGAGGTGTGCTCTGATTGGCCAGCTATCCAGTGCGTTGTGATTGGCCGAATACCTCAAGCGTGTGACGGAAATGTTACGCCCCTTAACATACTGTGATGATACCGGAGCGATGAGACAAAAACATTAAAACCCATTACAAACGAGCCTTTTGTTGCATCCAGTGGGGACATAATTACGGATTATAATGACTTATATTGTCTTTTTATGCGTTGCGTTGCATCGCGCCGCGTAAACATAAAACCATGTCTGCATTTGTAGAAAGGAAAAATTAAAATCGCATCATATGACCCCTTTAAATAATTAATATTTCTGATAAACAGATTGCAGTAGATTTGACCCAAATGTTTGTTGATTGATCAGTCTGGTCAATGTATCAGTCTGACACTTCTAGTAGTATTTCTAGTCATTTTGTAGGACTGTTGATGTTGTAACACCAAGTTCTTTTCCCCGATGCTCATTCTTTTGGTGTAAATCGCTGAAACTCCCCCGATCTTCGTGTTTGGATAACAAATCCCGCTCTCTGTGCCCCTTCCAGAGTTTGTCAGTGCTAGATGATTCGAACCCCAGCAGTCCTGCTTCAGATTTTTCTGGGCTGGTGGTGGAGCCCAACCTGTCAGGCCGCTCTCATACATTAACCTTCTCCTCCAGCGAGGTGAGTGCAGATCAGACATGCCGCTCTCACCGCCATTCGTTTGCATGGGTTTCCTGTAACCATCTGGAAGGTCAAGTATTGTCTCGTGCCTCCCGCCCCTTCGCTCGTGTAGTTCCTGTGTCATTTTTAGCTTGAAGCACTGCGTGTATGCTGATGGCGTTCCCCGTTTGATTTCATGTGGCTGCTCTCAGTAGTGTTTGCTTTTGCATGACTGAGAGGATCAGATGCATGCATGATGTTGTGTCAGATAACATTCACAAGTTCTGTGCACAGAATTCATGCATTCACCTTCATTATATTCTACAGTAATCAAAAAGTACCGTGGTATTAATATGTACTACGTTTCTAGGAGCATGAGATTCACCTGGCTGATGTGTGTGTGTATTAGATGCTGGATGAGGAGCCTTGTTCTGGAGGGAAGGAGTATCATTGGCAGAACCGTCCCGTCTCTGATTGGACGTCCCAGCAGGTGTGTCACTGGCTGATGGGTATGAACATGGATCAGTACACACCTGAGTTCAGCACACAGGCCATCGATGGACAGCAGCTCCTCAACCTGGACAGTGACAGACTCAAGGTGAGCGGCCTGTGCTCTCATAGATGGATATATTTTGAAGAGAACTGACATCAACTGGGCATTAGTGCGGCTGTATTAAATGCATGTGTTTGTATTGTAATTAGAAATATCTTTATTTTGGCTCATTTTGAATACTTGGACATTACAGTGGCTCTTTTTAAAAGATGGATATGATTCGATGAATAAAGCTGTGTCATAAAAAAAAATTTAAAAAAATCTTGAAACTTATGGAAGCCTGTTTCCGTCACTGAACAAAAAATAAATAAAAATGGTTATTGCGACTTTTTTATCTCACAATTCGGACGTTTTTTTTTCACAGAATTGTGATATAAACTTGCAGTTGCAAGTTATAAAGTCAGAATTGCGAAATATAAACTCAATTCTGACTTTTTTTCTCAGAAGTGTGAGATAAAAACTTGCAATTCTGACTTTATAACTCGCAATTGTGAGTTTATATCACACTGCTGAGAAAAAAAGTCCGAATTGTGAGTTTATATCGCGCAATTCTGAGAAAATTATTCAGTTGCGGAAACGGGCTTCCATAGAAACTGGCACGGAGCATCGGGATGACATTTTTTTATGATGTTTTTTAATTCTAAAAGATGTTTAATGCACCTAATTACAATAGAAATGTAGTTAAAACAAATGAAAACAAAACTTTCCTAATGTATATAGGCTATAGCCTTTTTTTGAAAAATGAGAATTAAAAAAGATGATTTAAGAAGAATTTATCAATTTTACTGCTATTGTGTGAATAATATGCAATCATGTATTAAAAAAAAGTAATTGTAGTCAGATTATGAGATTTAAAAACATTATAAATCTAAAAGTAAAAAGTAGTAATCAGTTATACTGATAACAAAATACACACATTTTATGGAAACGTTATTATAAAGTACTGAAAATGTAATGATCCTTAGGATAATTACAAAATAATGGTAGACCTATCCAAAATTATACATTTAGATTTTTTTTCAAATTTCATATTTCAGTCTAAATAAACTGCAATAAAAAAAATGTATACAGATTAACACATTTCTACTACTTTGTTTTAAACAGTATATCACCCACGCTTATTAAGAATTATATTTAATGACGTGTTTATTTTTACCAATTACAATAATTCAAACATAGAGTTCCTCAGCTGATCCAGACTGATTTGTTACACCAGTGTGAAAATAAAAAATGCCTTGTGAGAATGAAGGTATGTCTCAGGAGAACGGTTTATGAATGATTCGGCCATCACTCTCATTCCATGCCGAAGCTAAACTGCAAGCACAAATTTCAGAAAATGCATCTCACTGTAACATTTAAGATGTCGCTTAATTGTATTTTGCTTGTGATTACTTGCGAATTGAAATGCTCTCCACAGGCTCTGGGTGTTTCCAGTCAGAATGACCGAGCCACAATCAAGAAGAAACTGAAGGAGATGAAGAAAGCCCAGGAGAAGATGGAGAAACAGCGGGAGAAGCGGGAGAAAGAGGCCAGACGCAGCGGACGGCTGCCTGCCAGCACTGACTCTGTGTGCTGATGATGTTCAGAGCGTCACGGTTTCTTCATCTTTTCACTTTAATTCTCCACACACTCCAGTGGCAGTTCCTCCGACACGTATGAGCCGTTCTAGAGGAGTCGCTATGAGTGAATTCAGTCAGTAACAGGCAGTCATCCTGAAACACTAATGAAGCTGCTTACAAGACCACATTTTACTCTCTTCAGTTCAGTCTGTGCAGCACAAATATGAGCATGTTCATCTACATGTAGTGCATTTACTAAGAAAAGTGTTTACAGGGTGTGTTGCCTTCACTGTAAAAAGAAAAATGTTTTTTTTTAAATCAGTATTTTGTCTTTATTTTCAGTCAAATATCTCAGCATCCCTATATCAAGATAAATGTACTTGCATAACAAGAGATGAATTACAGATTCAGACAGATCGGAGAATGTACAAAATTGTATTAAATGTTTATTTTTGTTGTTGTTTTTGCCACTAGCGTAAATTCCCAGTGAAGAAATTGCGTTTAATTCAAGATACGTCCTCTGAAACAAATCTATATCTTTGCTTCTCAAGTAATTGTGTCTTTAAGGACGTTTTTACTGGAAAACAAGACAAAATACTGATTAAGAAAAATATCTTTGCAGTGTTCTGAGTAATAAGTGAGAGAGATTTTTTTTCTTTTAGACTAGCTTGTAAGAAAATGAATATGGCTGTCCAATTTATAGCAGACCAAAACTTTTATTAGTTTTAATTGTATTTAATGATACCACTGTAGGGGCTATTAAAAAAACAATCTTGCTAAGGGATATATAAATATTTAGATGCCAACTTTGCCGCTAATATTGTGGCACGAATAGTGCTTTTAAAAAGATTTCTTAGTCATTTTGCTGGATCCTTGTACAGTCGAGTGATATTGAGCACTATATTTTTACTGAAACAAAGGGGAACATGGTTTATAAATGTACAAATGAGATATTTAATACACCACTATTAGCATAGCTTTAAGGAAGAGACATTAACTTTTGTACACATTTTCTACTAAGTAGAATAGCTTGTTGGGCAAAACCATTTGGCTAATTCTGAAAAGCAGAGAGTGAAACTCAAAATGAAAGGTGTTTGTTGTTTTTATTTGGACGGTTACTGCTTTTATATTATGGATATGGTTAAAAAATACACAATTGTTACAGAATGCAGCGTAGTTTTATTAGTGGCCATGGCCCAAATTGTAACAGAGGGTGTAATGATTTTAAGTATTGATTATCAACTGATTGTAAGCGTCGTTTTCAAAGAGACGCCACCTGTGCTCATGTCATCGTGATTCTGTGGTTATATTTTTCTACCTTGTGAAATAGATGATTTTGAACAGACAAAAATCAAGCTTTCTATCTGGTACAAATAAATGCTTTCACCTCTTGTAAAAGAAAAAAACGGTGTGTTTTCAGTCCAAAATGCAGTTCCCTTCACAGCAGAACTGATTTTAACCCTTGTGCGTCACTTAAAAAAAGTTACACATAGGTCCACAGTGGACAAAAATGTCCATGTCAAAAAACTGTCATAAACATTTGAAGCTTGGGAGCACAGAGTTAAGTTTGGTCTCATTTTAAAGAAGACCCATGGCAGATTATTGTTGAAGTAAAAAGTTTAAAAAGTGAAACCAAAAAAAAGTTCTAGAGGTTTAAGTTTATGAAAATTATTTATGAACGATATTTTATATAAAATATATACTTTACGAAACATGTTAAACTCTATACCTGCTAGAAAATCAAAGCCATAAATCTAAACAAGTTGTGTTCCAAATTTGAGGTTGATATCTCAAAAAATGAGCTTTCAGTAAGATTGGGCGCAGTACCAAATTTTCCCCATTAGATGCCAGCAAAACTCTGCTGGTGCACACAGTGGTTGGATTTGTGATTTGCAGTAGAGTTTTTCTCTCTCAAATCATTTTTTGTACCTAGTGCAAAACAGATTTATTAAAGGAAATGGAAGTGAAATAGTAAAATTCCAATAAAAATACACACCTGTGCCAAAATGTATGCAGTTGGCAATAACACAGGAAAAACTATCAAAAAAACTAAACTGAAAAGGACAAAAATGTCCAAAAGGTCGCACAAGGGTTAAATCGTAAACGTGGAGAAAGTCTGTTCAGTCACTGCTCAGTTAGCTATTAAAAAGCAGAAGATTCCGATCTGTACACGAGTGATGGGCGCTTTTGAAGCACTGCTCCGTGAAGCTTCGAAACCTTTGCGAATCATTTGCTTCAAGCCCGTGAATCCGCCAAAGTAACGTTTAATAAAAAAAAAATGTATTAGACATTAAAGACATAACATGCAACATTTACAACTTTAACAAGACATCCAAAAAGATAACACAATTAAAGGAATGGGTTTACATTACATAGAAAAAAATAAATAAATAAAAATCAATAATAATACTTAAAGAAAAAAAAAGACAGCATATACCCGTTAAATTTTCAAGTAACTTCAACTCTTTAGCGAATAAAATTGTATCTCTACATTTTTTGTTATCAATACATTGGAGAGACTCAAAATACAAATGAAAATCAGTCATAAAGACCTTCAAACAGGGTTTAGAACTATTTGTTTTACTTCTATGAATATGAAATTTACCAAATAAAATCATTAGATTCATCATAAAATTATGAAACTATAAACTATAAGATAACATCTTTGGATGTTAATTCACAATGATAACCAGAGTTCTGTTGAATATATGTAGATAAATCTTCCCAGAATTTTAGGTTTACATTACATAGAAAAAATAAATAAATTAAAATCAATAATAATACTTAAAGAAAACAAAGACAGCATATGCCCGTTCAATTTTCAAGTAACTTCAACTCTTTAGCGAATAAAATTGTATCTGTACATTTTTTGTTATCAATACATTGGAGAGACTCAAAATACAAATGAAAATCAGTCATAAAGACCTTCAAACAGGGTTTAGAACTATTTGTTTTACTTCTATGAATATGAAATTTACCAAATAAAATCATTAGATTCATCATAAAATTATGAAACTATAAACTATAAGATAACATCTTTGGATGTTAATTCACAATGATAACCAGAGTTCTGTTGAATATATGTAGATAAATCTTCCCAGAATTTTTTGGAATGGTAACATTAAAAAAAAAAAGATGTATATTCTTTCTGGCTGATCTGAACAAAATGAACATTTTTCATCAATATCCATAAATTTTGATAAAGTATAGTTACTAACATAAATATTATGAAGTGCTTTCAGATGTATTTCCCGAAGTTTGTTAGATATACAAAACCGAAAGGGAAGAAGCCAAGCTTTTTTCCAAATAATCTCTGGAAAACAAATGTTCCAGAAAAATTTCCCTCTAGGCTTAATAGATCTCTTTTCACAAAATAGATTTCTAATAAACTTATTTGTGCATTTTTAACTGTTAATGTCCCCCCCATTTCAATTAAGAACGGGTTCAATTCTACAAATGTTAAGGGACAACATATGGTTTCTCATTAACATCAATAAACCTGTGGGAATGGCGTTTATCACAGAATAATATTCTCTATATATGTGGAAATGCCCATTTATTCATAACATTTTCATAAGAAAGCAACTCAGCTGACTGATCAAAAAGGTCAGATAAAAAATAAATTCCTTCATCCATCCAACTCTGTAAATAAAGAGATTTCCGGTTAACTGTAATATAAACATTATTCCACAAGATTGCTTTATGTGGAGAAAAGTTATGCACATAACATAACTTCCAGGCCTTGAGAGCTTGTTGATAGAAATTGGATAAAGCCACGGGCAGTTTGCTAGTCGAGTAATCACACATTAACAAAAAGTGTAAACCTCCAACCTTTTTAAAAATATTATATGGTATAAAAAACCATATTGAGTCTGATTTAAGTAGACAGTTTCTGAGCCATTTTACTTTGAAAGTATAATTTAAATCGAAAAAGTCCAAGAGCTCAAAACCACCCTCATTCCTTGGACCCTGAAGAACTTCCTATATTAAATGATGATCGCTTGAACAAAAAGAGATAATGCCGGATAAACAAATCTAGATACCCCTTCTACTTTGGTTAGAAGGACTCTGCCTATAGTAGTCAAGTCTCTTTGAAGCCAGTTATTAAAGATGTTTTGAGCTTTTTTAAGTTTAGGGGAAAAATTTAATTCTTGTCTCTCCACTATATCTTTTGTAACGCTTATTCCTAAATACTTAATCTTATTTTTTACTGGGATGTTACATACAATTTTTTCATTTGATTCATAAAGGCACATTATTTCACATTTCGTTACATTTGACACTAAACCAGAAGCAACAGAAAATTAATTTAATTTAATTATTAATTCAAAACTTTTATGGAAAGAAACTCTACTACAATAAGGAATAAAAAAGGGGATTTAGGACAACCTTGACGTACTCCTCTACAAATGGGAAATATTTTATAAGCGTTTGGATATAAATTAATAGAACTATTAATACCTCTATGAAACATTTAAATTATAGAAACAAATCTTTCCCCAAAACCAAAAGATTTTAAAGGGGTCATATGACGTTGCTAAAAAGAACATTATTTTGTGTATTTGGTGTATTGAAATGTGTTTATGCGGTTTAAGGTTCAAAAAACACATTATTTTCCACATACTGTACATTATTGTTTCTCCTCTATGCCCCGCCTTTCTGAAATGTGTCGATTTTTACAAAGCTCATCGGTCTGAAAAGCGAGGTGTGACAACCACATGTGACGACCCCGGGCTGGACTCCGCTTCGTCCACGGTGAAAGCCGATCCGGCGATCCGCCGTTTTAGGTCGGCGTGGCTGACTCTTAACTTTTATAAAGAATATCTCTTTGGATTTGAGACTTTAGTCTTTGCAACTTTACAGATCTTCTTTATGCACCAAGAGCTTGTAACACTCCAAAGAGAAAGGAACAATTTTAATCGCATCATATGACCCCTTTAATGCCCTATACATAAACTGATGCTCAATTGTATCAAAAGCTTTATGGAAATCTAAAAAAACAATTAAAGCCTCTGATTCCACCAAATTTGAATAGTCTAACAAATCCAAAATCAGTCTAATGTTCCAACTTATATGTCGGCCAGCCATAAATCCAGTTTGACACTCATTTATGATTTCGCCTAGACCTTTTTTCAAACGAACGGCATAAACATGAGATAACAGTTTATAATCTACGTTCAATAATGTTATAGGACGCCAGTTATCCAAAATCAAATAATCTTTATCTGGTTTAGGAAGTAGGGTTATTAACCCCTGTTTCAAAGAAGTCGATAATTCATTTGATTCAATACATTCCTTATACATTTCAAATAAAGGGTTTTCAATAATATCCCAAAAGCAGAGATAAAATTCAACTGAAAGACCATCTGTGCCTGGCGATTTATTTTTTTTCATTGAACGAATAGCTGTAACCATCTCTTGCTTCCTTAGTTTTTCATCACAAAGGTCTCGAAACTGAATAGAAATAGATGAGACCGATTGCTTAACTGACTCAAAGAAGTCAGAACATTTATCCATTTCAAATACAGATTCATATAACTGAGAGTAAAAATATTCCACATAATTTGCAATCAATTTTGGATTCGAAGTGAGTACATCATCAATTTTAAGAGAGGAGATCATTTGTCTTTTATAATTTTGCTTTTCAGGTGTCTGCCAAAGTCACATCTGTGTGAACATTTTATGTTTTATTTAACCTGATCTCGGATTTGCAGATATTTTTAATGACATTTGTGACAAAGTTTCGAAAAGGTTCTTTTCTCCCATCACTACTGTACACTAAAGTTTGAATGCCACTGCACTGGAAAACATATCCTAGTCCCTAAAAACCTCACAAACCTCAAATAATAGAAAAACACAACTCTTTAAAATAAAATAAAATGCATTTTGATACTTCGTGGGACTGTAAATGTACGTAATAGAGATGTATCTTTGGTTACTCTGGTAGGAAACCTGTGTGAACTGACTTCACACATCCTCTAAAAATCACTAAAACACTAATAATTGCACAAATGACTCAAGAAAATAAGTTAAAGCACATGCAGAAAAGCGCAATGACTAAGTCTGCAGTTACAGTCTGTGTCCAGTAGAGGACTGCTATTGAAACCGGATGAGTTTCAAACTACTAAACACTTGAACAGTTTCAAACTGGTTTAAAGAAGCAGACAGTTCACACACGTTCATGCGTTTGTTCCTTTTTTTTTGTCATTTAAGTGCGGGAATTGTTCATTACTTAGTTGAAGCTGAACATTTTCTAATGGTGAGAAGTGTTTAACACTTTCAAACTCTTCACACTACATTCTCACTTTCAAAAAAAAAAACTCTGAAAACAAAATGGGACTGCACATGGAGTGTACACCAGTTATGCTGGTGTATACATTATAGCTCACAGCTGTGTGACACACAAGCTTGATTTCCCAAATCACAACATGCACGTTTAAAGCAAAAATGATCAACACTTCAGTCTGTCTCGTGATGACAGACAAATAAATATATACTGGCTTACACATCCAAATGTAAGATTAATAGGTCATTAAACACATACTGGATCACACTCAGAAATAATACAGCAGAAGGACAACAGCCTAAATTGTCTATCTGGGGATGTGATGGCACTAGCAACACCTGTGCTAACTTATAACACTGGTAACATCTGGTACTTTTTCATTAGAACATACTAGAAACATATAGTGTTTCAGCATGCTCTTTTATATATTCCTTTGAGCCCCAGGCTCTTTTGCTCCGCTATCCTGATCTACACAGGGGCGGACAGATGAAGGTAAGACGCTTTATTTGGTCTGCTGAAGCAGGTGCATTGGTGAAGGGTGCGAGAGGGAGTCTGGACGAACACATTCACGACAAGCTTTGAGATCAGACTAGAAGCTGCGGAAGGTGGTCATGTCCTTGGGTTCTTTGCTGGGAACACACCAGTCATCGGCTTCGTGGATGGTTTTATAATGTTTCCAGGCAGATTTGTTGTAAACGGGAAGCCTCTCGATGGACTCAGTGGACAAAGCCTTCAGGGATAAAAAAAAATAAATAAAAATATTATTATTATTATTATTATACCATCATTCAAAATTTGAGGTCAGTAAGATTTATTTATTTATTTTTTTTAATAAGCCTCTTTTGCACCAAGGCTGCATTTATTTGATAGAGTAAAAACAATAATATTGTAAAATATTTGTACAATTTATAATAACTGCTTTCTATAATAATATATTTACATTTTTAATTTATTCCTGTGATCAAAGCTGAATTTTCAGCATCATTACTCCAGTCTTCAGTGTCACATGATCTTCAGAAATCATGCTAATATGCTGATTTGCTCCTCAAGAAACATTTCTGATTATTATCAATGTTGAAAAGAGTTGCGCTGCTTCATATGTTTGTTTCATATTTAAAAGCATTAAATTGAGTCTGTTTTAGGACCATTCAGATTTTTTGCATTGAGACGGACATTTCAAATGTTGGTTTTGTTGTTTTTAATAATATTTTCCCACATTACTGTAAGGGGTGTGCACAAATAGTTGAATATTCGATATGTAATTATTATTCAAAAAATAAAAACACTATTCGAATTTTACTACATTTTGATTTGCTGGCCATAAATGCAGGGAATCCATGATAAATCCTAAGCACACAAACGAAAAGTCAGTTATAACTAAATGCACTGGGTGGCGCTGTGGAGCATGTTAACAAGTTGAGAAATGGTGACAAAAACTTGATTATTAAAAAAATTATGTCTTTCTCGCTAAGCGTCATTTAAATAAACGAATATTCGTTTTTTTTATGAGCCCAAATATTCAAATACAACATTTAAAAAAAAATGCCCATCCCTATTACTGTAATGAGAATGAAATTATTTGCATTATCATAAAAAGAATAGTGAGACAATATCATTAAAAATAATTACGTCAATGCAAAAAAACCTGAAATTAACTTTTTTTATGCAAATAATTATAATAAAAATACATCGTTTTGGGGGGATGAAAACCAGGGGTTATTATTTAAGGTTATGGATACAGACAGAGGTACTCACTCTGATATAAATGACAGCATCTGTGCCGAATCCCTCCATAGAGTACAGCTTCAGGTCTCCTTGGAAATATCTGGCGTAAAGTCTGGAGATGGGCAGCCCATAACCAAAACCAGCCTGAGACCACAACACAACACATGCCATCAACATAGCAGAGATCTATTGTAAATGAACATATTGTGGGTGCTTAAACAGGTCAGTACAGGAAATATGTAATTCAAAACTATGTATTTGCCATTTTTACTGATAGACAAGTTGAAACAGAAATAATGTAGAAAAAAAAAAAACGGGGAGAATGAGATCAAGAAATGCAGGCTCCAACTTGCTACATCATTTGTCATTAGTGGTTCAACGGATCACATATCTCACGGTTCGGATCATATTACAGTATTTCAGCCACGGATCGGATCAGCAAGAAAAAAAATCTATGTGCTTTCCATAAGTACGATACCACAGCAAAAACTCTTAGCCTAAGAAAGTTCAAACATTATTAAAGAGACAAGTGAACAGCCAGTAAAAATAAGAACAAATAGGCTACACAAATTACAAGCATAGATAAATACAACAGAACAATATTACAAATAAGGTCGGTAGTATTCAGATACAGAAATGTACAAAAAAAAAAAAAACGCATAGTGTTCATTATATACATTTAAAAATAGATTCATCTTTGTCAAAAATGTGTTTTGTGGTTTGATGAGCATAATGACAGCAGCAGGTATTATTAGGCTGCTGCCCCTTTAAGACCTGATGCATGGATCTAATAAAGCCTAATGACACACATCCGATTTCTTTCTCAGCTCGTTCACTTAAGACACAACTGACTGCATTTGCCACAATGATTGTCGAGATCGGTATTTTGTCATAATTTTATGTGTATATGCGTCTGTTCAAAGGTAGTGAGTGAAAGAGATATGAATGAGTTCCCTTTTCTTTCGCTTGAATGGTTTAAAATCGCTTTTGTGTGTAAACACGTACAAATGATAAACTTTCACTCTGTTTACATTTTGCAATTAATCTGCGGATCACATGCGTGCCGAACCGTGGGGCTTGATTCGTACGGATCAGCTACGATCCGTTCAGTCACTAATCATGGGTAGAGCGATGATAAATCGATGCAGAACCGATTCGTGGATGGATTCTGAGCTTATATTTTAACAGCAGATGGCATTCTACTCTCGTTTTTATCCACACACTCAAACACTCATGAACAGTGACGACGAGTGCTTATCAGGATCAACTAAACGTTGGATTTTCAAAAGTATGTGAAATATTTAAAGTTAGCGGCACAGAATCTTTAAAATACGTCTGAGAGTTTTACACACCGGTCTGTTATTGTGGCGACATTTCCACGCCCCGAAACGTGACGCTGAAACGAAACGAACTTTGATTGGTTGTTTGACATGTCGGTCAAACGGCTTCATGGGCAGTGTTTGGCCAATGAAAGCTGCCATGGATTCCAGACCTTCAGCCGTCAGTCTGAAGGTCTGGCTACGCGAGACTAGTTCAAAGGCAAATAGTGAATGAGATCGGAAAGATGGTTCAGTTCAGTGTTCGCGCGCAGTCAAACGTGCCTCTCTGCATGTGCGTGCGGCTGTGATAGAAAACAGCACGCGAGTAACGAATCGAGTTCCATTTTACCTTTTCTTTCGCTAGAATGGTTTAAAATCGCTTGTGTGTGTAAACGTGCAATTGATAAACTTTCATTCTATTATGGTTACATTTTGCAATTAATCCGTGGATCACATGCGTGCCGAACCGTGGGGCTTGGTCCGTACGAATCACGGATCAACTACGATCCATTTAACCACTATTTGTCATCCATTTGTCTGAGCATGTAAGCCAATCACTATGCCACAGCTATTTCAACTCTTCAGTTTCTAACCATTAAAAAATGAAAGTGGGACCCTGAGATGCAGACAGTATGTCAGATTTCAGTAAGGTCACACACTGACCAGAGGAGTGGCTCGAGATGTGTCCATCTGAGGACGAGGGGCAGTGGAGTATGTGTATGTAAACAACCTGTCAATCTTCCTCAGCGGGACTCCGCCTCCACGATCACTGACCTATCACAGAACAACACGATTCACATTAAACCGGGTAATAGCCCATAACTGATCAAAGATTCTTACGATATACACTAGTATTAATTTACACTATTTATTTGATCAAAAATGCAGTAAAAACAGTAATACTGCGAAATGTAAAATAATTGTTTTCTAGTTTAATATTTTAAAATAATTTATTCCTGAATTTTCACATCCTTCACCAATCATTCTAATATGCTGATTTGCTGCTCAAGAACCTATTCTTATTATTATCAAGGTTGAAAACAGTATTTGTGGAAACGTGATAGAAAGTACAAAAGAACAGCATTTTTTGAAATAGAATTTGTTTAACATTATTAATGTCTTTACTGCCATGTTTGATCAATTTAATTCATCCCTGCTGAAAGAAAGAAAGAAAGAAAGAACGAACGAAAGAAAGAAAAAGAAAGAAAAGAAAAAGAAAGAACGAACAAAATAAAGAAAGAAGGAACGAAAGAAAGAACGAACGAAAGGGAGAAAAAGAAAGAAAGAACGAACAAAATAAAGGAAAGAAAGAACGAAAGAGAGAAAGAAAGAACGAAAGAAAGAGAAAGAACGAACAAAATAAAGAAAGAAAGAAAGAACGAACAAAAGAAAGAAAAAGAATGAACGAAATAAAGAAAGAACAAACATACGAAAGAAAGAAAGAGCGAACAAAATAAAGAAGGAAAGAAAGAAAGAAAGAAAGAACGAACAAACGAAAGAAAGAACAAACAAAATAAAGGAAAAAGAAAGAAAGAAAGAACGAACGAAAGAAAGAACGAACAAAATAAAGAAGGAAAGAAAGAACGAAAGAGAGAAAGAACGAACGAAAGAAAGAGAAAAAGAAAGAAAGAACTAAAGAACGAACAAAAGAAGAAGAAAGAAAGAAAGAACGAACAAAATAAATAAAGAAAGAAAGAACGAACAAAAGAAAGAAAAAGAATGAACGAAATAAAGAAAGAAAGAACAAACAAACGAAAGAATGAAAGAACGAACAAAATAAATGAAAGAAAGAAAGAAAGAACGAACAAACGAAAGAAAGAAAGAACGAACAAAATAAAGAAGGAAAGAAAGAAAGAACGAACAAACGAAAGAAGAAAGAAAGAAAGAACGAACAAAATAAAGAAAGAAAGAAAGAACGAACAAAATAAAGAAGGAAAGAAAGAATGAACGAACGAACGAAAGAGAAAAAGAAAGAAAGAAAGAAAGAACAAAAGAACGAACGAAAGAAGAAGAAAGAAGAAGAAAGAAAGAACGAACAAAATAAAGAAAGAACGAATAAAAGAAAGAAAAAGAATGAACGAAATAAAGAAAGAAAGAACAAACGAAAGAAAGAAAGAACGAACAAAATAAAGAAAGAAAGAATGAACAAACGAAAGAAAGAGAAAAAGAAAGAAAGAACGAACAAAATAAAGGAAAGAAAGAAAGAACGAACAAACGAAGAAAGAACGAACAAAATAAAGAAGGAAAAAAAGAACGAAAGAGAAAGAACGAACGAAAGAAAGAAAGAAAAAAAGAAAGAAAGAAAGAACGAACGAAAGAAGAAGAAAGAAAGAACGAACAAAATAAATAAAGAACGAACAAAAGACAAAGAATGAACGAAATAAAGAAAGAACAAACAAACGAAAGAAAGAACGAACAAAATAAAGGAAAGAAAGAACGAAAGAGGAAGAAAGAAAGAACGAACAAAATAAATAAAGAAAAAAAGAACGAACAAAAGAAAAAGAATGAACAAAATAAAGAAAGAAAGAACAAACAAACGAAAGAAAGAACGAACAAAATACAGAAAGAAAGAACGAAAGAGAAAGAACAGACGAAAGAAAGAGAAAAAGAACAAACAAAATAAAGAAAGAACGAACGAAAGAAAGAGAAAGAGAAAGAACGAACAAAATAAAGAAAGAAAGAAAAAGAACAAAAGAAAGAAAGAAAGAAAGAAAGAAAAAGAATGAACGAAATAAAGAAAGAAAAAAGAAAAAACGAACAAACGAAAGAAAGAAAGAACGAACAAAATAAAGGAAAAAGAAAGAAAGAACGAACGAAAGAAAGAACGAACAAAATAAAGAAGGAAAGAAAGAACGAACGAAAGAAAGAGAAAAAGAAAGAAAGAACGAACAAAATAAAGGAAAGAAAGAACGAGAGACAGAACAAACGAGAGAGAAAAAGAAAAAGAAAACTAACAAAATAAAGAAAGAACAAACAAAATAAAGAAGGAACGAAAGAGAGAAAGAACGAACGAAAGAGAAAAAGAAAGAAAGAACAAAATAAAGAAAGAAAGAACGAAAGAGAGAAAGAACGAACGAACAAAATAAAGAAAGAATGAGAGAAAGAACGAACAAAAGAAAAAAAGAAAGAACGAACAAAATAAAGAAAGAAAGAGAGAACGAACGAACGAAAGAGAAAAAGAAAGAACGAACAAAATAAAGAAAGGATGAGAGAAAGAACGAACAAAAGAGAAAAAGAAAGAACGAACAAAAGAAAGAAAAAGAAAAAGAAAGAATGAACGAAAAAAAGAAAGAACGAACAAACGAAAGAAAGAGAAAAAGAAAGAGAAAGAACGAATGAATGAAAGAAAGAGAGAAAGAAAGAACGAATGAATGAGAGAAAGAGAGAAAGAAAGAACGAATGAACAAAAGAACGAACGAAAGAGAGAACGAATGAATGAGAGAAAGAAAAAGAAAGAGAAAGAATGAACAAACGAATGAACAAAAGAAAGAACGAATGAATGAGAGAAAGAGAAAAAGAAAGAACAAACAAAATAAAGAAAGAAAGAACGAAAGAGAGAAAGAACGACCGAAGTAGAAAAAGAAAGAACGAACAAAATAAAGAAAGAACGTACAAAAGAAAGAACGAAAGAGAGAAAGAACGACCGAAAGAAAGAAAAAAGAAAGAAAGAACGAACAAAATAAAGAAAGAACGTACAAAAGAAAGAACGAAAGAGAGAAAGAACGACCGAAAGAAAGAAAAAAGAAAGAAAGAACGAACAAAATAAAGAAAAAGAATGAAAGAGAGAAAGAACGAACAAAAGAGAAAAAAGAAAGAAAGTTCGAACAAAATAAAGAAAGAAAGAGAGAACGAACGAACGAAAGAGAAAAAGAAGAAAGAACGAACAAAATAAAGGAAAGAAAGAACGAAAGA